GCTGCGACGGGAAAGCCCAGCGGAGGCTGTGGCCCGGGCTCTGCTCTCACCTCACACCAGCTGGGCTCCAACCGCCTCTCCCTCCCTCCCTCCCTCCCTCCTCGTCGCTCTTGCGAGCCAAAACTCTTCACGCCAAAAAAACTCCTCGCTATTTAAGGCAACCGGCTGGGTCTGGAGGCGGAGAGCTGCCGCTCGCTCAGAAATACCACACCGTGCACCACAGGCTGCTGCGAAGCCCGAGGAAGCTCTGGGCTACGGCAGGGATGAACGGCAGAGCGGTGCAAACCCTGCCCATCCCTCTGGTTGTGTTTTCGCTGGTTAAAGGCAGGAATTAGGGCCCATCTGCAGGATCACAGACTGGTCGAGGTTGGAAGGGACCTCCGGAGGTCATCTGGTCCAACCGCCTGTGCTCAAGCCCAGGACTGTGTCCAGATGGCTTTTGAATATCTCCAGGGATGGAGAATCCACAATCCCCTGGGCAACCTGTGCCAGTGCTTGGTCACCCTCCCATTGAAAAAGTGTTTCCTGATGTTCAGAGGGACCCTCCTGTCTTTCAGTTTGTGCCCATTGCCTCTGGCCCTGGCACTGAGCACCACTGAAAAGAACCTGGCTCCATCTTTTTCGCACCCTCCCTTCAGGTTTTTATTATATACATTGATAAGATCCCCCTGAGTCTTCTTATCTCTAGGCTGAACAGTCCTAGATCTCTCAGTCTTTCCTCTTAGGAGAGACGCTTCAGTCTCCTCAGAATCTTCATGGCCCTTTGCTGGACTGTCTCCAGTCTGTCCATGTCCCTCTTGTACAGGGGAGCCCAGCACTGGACCCAATACTCCAGGTGTGGCCTCACAAGTGCTGAGTAGAGGGGAGGGATCACATCCTTGACCTGCTGGCAATACTTTGTCTAGTGCAGCCCAGGATACCATTTGCCTTCTTGGCTGCAATGACCTATTGCTGGCTTACGTTCAACTTGGTGTCCGCTGGGACCCCCAGGTCCTTTTCTACCAAGATGCTTTCCATCTGGGTGGCCACCAGCATATATATATATATTGGTGCTTGGGGTTGGTCCTGCCCAGGTGCAGGACTTTACACTTCTTGTTGAACTTCACGAGGTTCCTGCTGGCCCATTTCTTCAGTCTGTTAAGGTCCCTCCAGTGTACCAGCATGAGCATCTGGTGTACCAGCCACTCCTCCCAGCCTGGTGGCATCAGCAAAATGGCTGAGGGTACACTCTGCCCCATCATCCAGATCATTAATGAAGATGTTAAACAGGACCGGACCCAGTATTGACCCCTGGGGTAAAATGATAGTGACTGGCCCCAAACTAGACTTTGTGCCACTGATCACCACCCTCTGGGCCCATTCAGCTGCTTTTTAACCCAACCCAGAAAGTCAGGAGCTCAGGAGGTCTCCACTCTGACCTCCTCCCAACTGCGATGAGAGGAGACCATCACTCAGGGCTTTCTCCAGCTGGGTTTTGCAGAAGTCCAAGGATGGAGGTGGGTTGAGCCGCTCACCCCCAGCCCTCCCCCAGCTGTCCCCAAGGTTTGCTCCCGAGCGGGCTACAATACCTTGCGTTTTCCGACTTTCTGCTCATACACTGGTGGAGGAAAAGGTAGTCCTGGGGGGCACTGGCGGACAGGGTGCTCTGGAGGTGACTGGCCGGGGAGTCAAAGGTGAACAGGGTGGGTTGGCTGGAGTGGGACGGCGCTGAGGACTTGCGCTCTCGCAGCAGGTGGTGGCTGGCACCGCTGAGCTCTGCTGGGGAGGACCGTGGAGCATGGTTCATAGAAGCGATGCTCCTCAGGGTATCTGTGAAGGGAAAAAACACACCGGTGAGTGGCCGGACGCAGTGACCCCACGGTCTGTGTTCCTGGGATTTTCCTTACTTAAATGCTCCGGCATTGGTGGAGGATGGTTTTGTTTGCTTATGGCTCTGAATGATGCACTCAGCAGCAGGCTCCTCCACTTGGAGCACGTGCAACTATAGGGACCATATAGGGAAAGAAATATTTTATTGTATTTCATAATTTTATCATATTTTATCGTATTTTATCACATGCTTAGTAGCTTGCAGGGACGTTACGGGGGATGGCAGCCCAATTCATGGGGAGCTCAGTGGGTTGTTAAAACCTAGTTAAAAAGGAAAAGGAAGAGAAGAGCTTTCACACCACAGTTTCTGATTCTGTCTTCTCTTAGAGACCTTTTGTAGGTGGCTTTAGAGATGTGATTTAAGTCATCCCCATCCCTCTGTGTACAGTCATTGCTGCCATCCCTTTACAGTGGGGTAAACTGGAGTGGTAATGGGGATGGCATAATGACAGCAGAGATGAAAAATATACCCACTTTACCCAAATCTCTGTTAATTCTGTGACCTCAAAAGAGTTCCTGCTATCTTCTACTAGTAAAACGGGCTGCAGGCCCAAGGTGCGACTCCTCCCTGCCCCTGCTCAGGGAGAAATAAGCTTTAAAATATTAAATTAGTTTCAATGGATAATATCCCAGAGATTGGGAACAACCCAGCTAGTCCATCCCTCTGATAGACATGCTCCAAGAATTTGAACCAGGAATGAATTTTTACAGCCACGCTGTAAACCCCTATTGAAAAAAAATAAAAAATCTAAACACCCGGAAAACCTGCAAGCTGCAGAATATTTTGGGAAAGCTGACCCATCTCTGGCTACAGAGGACCATGTAGAAGACCATGCATGGTCTCCCTGCCATGCATGCACTCCTGCTATGTGAAAACTACTCATCGTGGTTCACTGAAGTGACCCTTCATAGTACCCGTGATTTACATTTATGTGGTGCTGATGCAAAACACAGAAAAAATCAAAACTCTAACAAAAAGGACATCTTTCCCTGGGTAAATCCACCTGGTTTTTGGCCATCATTGATTTAGGGATTGCTCCCATGCAGGTTTCCGCCAATGCAATGTCTGTCTGCTCCTCAAATTTGACTTCATATACCCATACAGGAACCTGCTCCAACATGGGGATAAATTTCCAATCTCTTTTTTTTTCATTCCTTCCCTCAAATTCCAGATCCTACCAGAAATTTTGGGCCAGACCTTCTTACACTGCAGAGAAATGAGTTCTCTGTGAAATGGCTGTCGTGGCTGGGACAAGGCGATGCTCCACACGGGGCGATTTTTCACCGACTTCTGAATTGTGTCAAGATACAAAATCGATCTGTCTGCCGCTTGTTCACTGCCGCTACATTTTTTTTCCTGGCGTTACTGCAAACTTCACCCGATGCAGAAAAAGTACATTAATAAAAGCCAAAGAGCGTGTCTCGACTCTGTTGTTTGGTTTGTGCTAAACACAGAAAGGATCAATATTTAACATTGACATTAATGGTGGGGGATGAGAGCTTAAAACTCCAAATCCTGTCTTCTTTGCATGGGCATTAAAGATCCCTTGGTGCTTTTCATGGGACTAAATGGTTCTCTCGGTGTCCTTGGACAAAACAGTGTCTTGACCCTCATTCTTATTAAATATTTATCCTGTAGCAGTGCAGACTGATCCCCATTGGAAAAGGAGTCTTTAGAGCTCTGTGAGTCCCAGGTCTTAGTCCCAAATCAGGTGCTTTGAGTTCAGCCAGCGTGGTAGAGCCCATACCCACGTTGCTATCAACACCAGGGGGGCTGCACCCAAAGTGTCTCTCGGAAATAGCCCCCAGCTCTTGCTGCCTCCCAAATCATGGCCAGGAATTGCCCGTGACATTGGGCTTTGACCAAGACTTTTCCAAGGATGGTGTGAGGATGGCATGTTAGTGCTGTGTCCCATCCCAGCACGAAGGTTGCCTCTGGGGACATCTGTGAGCTGTGCTGGACTGCTGTTGCTCTGCCCTGAGCAGTTCTCCAACACTATCCCTGCAGGCTCTGCACTTGCCATCGCATGGAAAAGCCAAAATACACCCAAGAGTTAGAAATTACACTGAGTTATTTGTGCTACCAGGGCCTAAGAGGAGAGCTGGGGCTGCATGGAGGAGACAGTCCTGAGCATCACACTGGGGCTCATCAAATTCAAATCACAACACTCTGAGGAGCCCAGTGAATCCTGCATTTCCAGAAGACTCTAATCTTTTCCCCAAAATCAGTCTAACTTGGGGAAACTGGAGAGCGCCACGCAAAAGACACAATCATTGAAAGGAGGATGAATTGCTCCATGGCTACTGCGACCACATAAAAGAAAATGGGGGACGAAGGGGAGCAGGCGGCAACGCCTGGTAAAAAGCGCTCCGCTTCCCTGGGGGAAGCCGCTCTACCGATGTCTGCATTGATTTTCAAAATGAATTCCCAGCTCGCTTCCCGCAGTGACCCGGCCACCGAGAGCATTAGCAGGAGCCAATTCAGGACTCGTGTACTCCATTAGGTCTGTGAGATGAACTCCGTAATAGCAGGTGAGAGATGGATTGTTTCATGGGGCTGGGGGGGTATTGCGAGGGCTGGGAAGATAAATCCTGCGGCTGCAGAGGGCGACTGCCAAGATTGCTCTGTATTTTTTATGTTGTGGGGGTGGTTTTTTTTCTCTATAAGACAGGGCAGCTCACGTGCCCAGGTCCTGCTGGAGGGCAGAAAAGGAAGCAAGAAAGGAAATCGAGGCAGAAAAATAGTATTTGGTGACTAGCACATGTTAAAGGGAAAAGTCAAGACATTTGTGCTCTGATGTTGGCCTGAAATAGAGAGAGGTCCCCATGAGGGTAAGACCTCATAGAGTGAATAGAGGCACAGAGTGAATTACAAGCCAGAGGTCCCAAAGCGATTTCAACTTGCCATGCTGCAGTGTCCAGCTCCCAGGCAATGAGGACCAACACTCCTTTCCCATGTCCAAGCAGGGCACTTAGTGAATAACCTTCAGGGGGTCCTGTCCAGATGCCTCCAGACATTGGTCCCACCCGCATCATGACCAAAGATGCTCAAATCAATCCGGCCATGTGCCAAAAAGAATGATGCTTCTCCATTCCTCATGGCCATCTGCCTCGGGGCCATGGATAAACCCATGGCCCTCGTTTATTTAACAGCGTAGATGTAGCCTTCAAATCCCTTGGCTTTATGTTGAGAGCTTGAGTTTATATTGAGGGAATGTATCAAATACAGCCAAGGAGGGATAAGATCCTGTTCCAGTTCCTATTGCCATTCCCAGGGGGGCAGAGTTAAGGTTATGTAGTGGAACCATGTGGGAAGTGTCATCTTAACCCCACGTTTCCTGGCTGGTTCTCTGCCGAGTTTGGGGAATTGGACTCTCACGGTCTGGAAAAGGCGGCGTTGGACGCCCACAACTTAAAATCCGATGTCAGCAGCATGGCTTGCATGCATATATCTTGCTGGGCTTGTGCTACAGCTGTTGTGCCGGTCCCTGCAAGAAAGCGAGCCAGAGGCTCGGCGGGGGCAAGCCACCACAGCCCTGCAAAACCCCATGGTGCCAGGCGGGCTTCGGTTGGCCGAAGGCTCGGCACTCACTAGTCCAGGTTAAGATGTGGCTTTTTGGCCATGTGTTGCAGCAAAGGGGGGAAAAAACCTCCTTGCAACTCCATCCTCAAAGCAAAAATACGGAACTGCGAGCACAGCCGGCAACAGGACAGACTAGGCCGGCAGCCAGGAATTTTTTATGAATGTTTTCAATCCCCCAAAGCGGTATTTCCCTCCTTGCTGACAGTTCTGAATTCCCTTGCTCAGAGTGCTCGCCTATTGCTGTGTGCGCATAGCTTCGCACAATGTTCCAAGGCTTATCGGAGTGACATAATTACTCAGCCTCCTTCGGAAATTGTTGCTCATAACGGACTTTTTCACCGGAGCCCCAATGTCAGCTTTCCCTGCCTGAAGTTGGAGGCTGGGCCTACAACTCCCTGTATCCCATGGACTTGAAATTATGCCCCCGGGAAGACGTCGATGTTTGGGTGTAACTAAATTCTTGAGCTCCCGTTGATGGTCGCAGCGAAGGCGCTGGGTTTGCTTGGCATCCCTGAGCAGCACAAAATTCCCCGTGATGCCCACACCACGCTGGCAAGGGCGAGATGGTCCAAGAGGCCTCTCAGATAAGGGCTCCTCAGATCTGCCCTGGCAAATAAGGCCACGAAACACATCGGACCGCATTGCTGACTTCATGCCAGTTAAAACTTATGGCCTATGAGATTTTTTTTTTTCAGGAGGGAATAATAAAAATCTACTAAAATAATCCCTAGGAGGGTGCAGGGCAGAGCATGCTCATGTGCTATCATCTTCCCCAACTCTTTGGAGCAGCTCCATCATCTATTAGCAAAAAAAGGGGGAACCTTCTCCCTTGGGAATCTGCCTGCGCCTCCGCTTTTGTTGCCAGCTCACTCCTCCAGCACAAATACAAAAAAAATAGTTAAAAAAAGACAAACAACCCTACCAAAACAAGCCCTCTGCATGCTTATCTGGGCAGGGAGAGAACAAACAACAGGTCCGATGGATGAGTCACCATGCCACCGTGCTGCCAGGAGGCCTGGGATGCCACAAGAATTGAGCGTGGCACCCAAGGAATGTTTATTTACTGAGCTTTACCTATTGCCTCTGAGTTGGATGGCATTTGGAAAAGCTGTTGTCAGTCTGAGGACTCTTTGGCAGGTCGCCCGTGAAAGGTTTCCTCCGGCAGGTTAGTTGGAAAGGGAGTCTGATTTGGATAATTTCCCCTCTCTGGTTTCCATCAGGGTGTGGAGCTGTGTGCAAGGACACAGGTACCCAAATATTTGGCTTTGCCCAAATTTTGAGTGCCAAGCAGGGGGAGTGGAGCTCCCCAAAAGTGAGAATGGGTCAAGGTAGGACTCATCACAGCTGCATCCTCCAC